TGTCTGTGGGAGAATATTCCTCCACAATCCACACCACTAAAAATAGCTTTCTACCCAAGCAGGGAAAAATCTGTAGGATTAGGGGGGAGATGTCTTTCTGAGATGGGGTCTTACCACCTGTGAAATGTATGATGGTATTGTCTTCCTTGGTCATCAGCAAGGATCCTGGTTTTCTCTGATCTTAAAAAAATCCCCAATTTTTGGTTAAAAATAAGTAATCTGAAATCCACATTTTTGCATGATCTAAATGAAATGCCACTAATATCTAAGTATATAGAAAGTGGTGTTTCATTTTAACCCCAAATCCATATTTTTCTGATTACTTTTTTAACCAAAAGTTGAGGATTTTTTTTAAATCGGAGGAAACCAGGATCCCTGGCTCATCAGGTCCAAGACCTTTGTGTGGCTTGCTTTCTTAATGCACTTCTGCAAAGCTGCTCAGGGGGTTCAAGTCCAAATACCATGTATTTTAAAATTTGCAGTCAGTTCTATGGAGCTGACTTCTTGTATCAGCAGCCTAGGGAGTGAGAGATCATATCTTATTGTATCAACAACTATAGGAGTGAGTGAGAGGTGCTTCTTGCTTGCTCTCTTGAAGAGCCCTCTCCTATTATTGGGAGGCCTCTGCTAACACCTATTTATCAAGCTAGTCTGGTGCCTGTGGATGGTTGTGGCTTGGTTTTGTTCTTTTGGTTGAAGCCACAGTCAGCATCTTTTCTGTTTTAAAGGGTTGAGGGAGGATGAGCTTGGGAGAATAATCCTTTGTTTTAATAACCCTTTAGAAGCTCCATGCTGAAATTGTTACTGCATTTTACTATGCCTCCTACAGAGCCTGCTGGATTTTTGATGAGGCCTTTGTGTTGCTTTAGGGATGACAGGAACTCTTATCCTTTAAGAAGCTTTTTTCCTAACATCTTTGAAGCACTGGTCAAGCTGGCAAAGGGGATGCCTAACTAAAATGGACCCCTGATCTGTGGTGCTTTTGGGCCACTCTGGTTCCTGGCCCTTTATCTTTTTTTTTTTCCCTTCAGGAGACGGCATAGATTTTTATTTTATTATTTCATTTTTTTTCCAATGCAAGTGAGGAGACCTTTTAATTTTCCTATCCTGTTAAACTGTATATAATACATGTCCCTTTTTCAGGTAGTTCATATTACTCTATGCTTTCCTTTTAAAAATGCACTTATTTGTCTACCAGTTGAGTATTGCCCTAATCCCAGAGAGTAATGGTTGGTCTCTAGTGATATGAGTCCAGGTCAGAGCTTGTGACTGAGCTAGAGATAAGAAGTCCTGTGTCCAAGCTGCTGCTGTACGTGGAGTTTGCTGGGGTTTCAAGCCGACCCCAGTCAATGGCTGTGTTCCCTGTTGTTTTTTTGTTTTTTAACTGGCATTAGCAAGTTGGTCTCATGCAGTTGTCATGCTCATGCTTGTGTGTGTTTAAAGGGATCCATTTGCTGTCCTTCTCTCTGAAAGTCACTGAAACCTTCCATCCCAGGTACCAAGCCCTGCGTATGCAGGAGTTTGGTGAGTCTGAGCTGGGCTTTCAGAAACTTGCCTGTGCACTTCTTCAGCATTTTTCTATTTTCTGTTAATTTCGATGAGTTCCCAGTGACCTGACAAAACTCTTCACAGTTCAATAACTCCTGGAATCAAAGCTCAAAAGCCTGGAGGTGCTCATGGCAGGAAAAGCAATTGCTCACTGCCTCTACTCGCCTCCACGGTCATTTGTGTAATAGGTTAGACCTGAAGGAATTAACTTGGGACATCTTGAGTTGGCCGATTTTGTGGTATTTGGGAGCTGCGATGATTGTAGTCCTGGAAATAAACTGCCATAACTTACATAATCAAAATAATATATATATCTTAGTGTGGAATTTTTATTTTCATCTCTCTGATAGCTCAGTCTTTAAAAAGTTAAAAAGACACCAGGTATTACAATGAACGTTGCTTGCTTATTTTTTCCTTGTCCCTACTAAAGTTGGATAGGTATGTTCTCCTGGCTAGTGTCCCTTTCTGCCTTCTCAAGATCTAAACTAGTACTCCTGTCTTCCCAGCCTTTTGGCAAAAGGCTTCCATTTTAACTCCATCCTCCATACAAAAATGAGAAGGGGGGAAAGGAAAAAGGATGGGGGGGCAGCTGCTGGCAACCTAAGTGCTTGGGTTGACTTCCTCTTGAGAGCTTCAATTAAACCTGTTTTGCAAACTGAGAGGAATGTGGTGCATACATATGTGTTTGAGCAGAGCAGTGGTAGGCTTATCTGCCTCTGACTAAGCTGCCAATTAAAAACTGGCTGTGTGACTTCCCTGTTGATTGGAGCAAAAGTTGGTGGAAATGTGCTTGTTTTTAAGGTGGCTCTAGGCTTCTTTTCTTCTCCCCTCCCTTAAAAAAAACTTGTTCTACACTGGAGCTCTGCCCTCCCAAGGCTGCCTGTATAGCCAGGAGGAAAGGGCAAGTCTAAAGGCCTTCATTTTCCCCAAGGTGGAGGATCCCTGGGCCTGCTTTTTCTCTAAAAATCTCAGTGTGCTGCTAAAAACCGAGAGGGG